ATCCCTACTAATCTTCAGCTGATAATAACCCGACCTCAAGTCAATCTTGGAGAATAAGCAAGCACCACGAAGCTGATCAAATAAATCATCAATACGCGGCAACGGATAACGGTTTTTAATCGTCACCCGATTCAATTGCCGATAATCAATACATAGCCTCAAAGTTCCGTCTTTCTTACTCACAAACAATACTGGAGCTCCCCAAGGTGAAGTACTAGGCTGAATAAAACCCTTATCCACTAATTCCTTCAACTGAACTTTCAATTCCCTTAACTCAGCGGGAGCCATACGATAAGGAGTCAAGGAAATAAGATTAGTACCTGGAAGCAACTCAATGGTGAACTCCATGTCTCGATCTGGCGGCAAGCCAGGTAAATCCTCAGGAAAAACATCAGGAAAGTGTCTGACTACCCTCACATCCTCTACTCTACTAGGAGCGGCCTCATCCAACACCACATGAGCTAAGTACCCCTGGCAACCCTTAAGATAGCAACCTTTTCGTTCGTACAGCAGAAACAACGCCATGTCTCACCCCACTCTGCTCACCCACAAAAGTAACCACAGGTAGTCCAGGACGATGAAACGTAACTATTTTCCCGTAACAATCAATATTTGCACAATAGAAATGCAACCAATTTGTGCCCAGAATCACATCAAAGTCAACAATATCTAACGGGATAAAATCAGCTGGCATAACCACATCTTCCACTATCACTGGACACCCTGGGTACACACGATCTATGATACATCTCTCCCCTCTAGGCATAGCCAACTCTAAATCATACCCTAGAGGTGTGGGGCGAGGTTACGTCACTTGAGCAAATGTATGAGAAATCACAGAATGCGTAGCACTACAATCAATTAATACTCTAGCAAAATAACCAAGGATATTTAACTTACCCTTGATCAAATCCGGATTGTTCTGAGCATCCTACAATGAAATGTTATGAATACGCCCCTGGGTCTGCTGTCGTCCACCTCGACCTCTGCTCGCCTGACCACCACGACTCTGAGTGCCACGCCTCTAACTGGGCTGACCAGACTGCCTCGAAGACCCCGCACTACTCGAAGCAATCTCTCTCTGTTGAATCTGTCCTCCCTGAAACCACTGAGAACTGCCTGCTGGAACTGGAGGATACGGCATATAGCCGCCAGAATACGGAGGATAACCACCCTGAGAATATGGGTCCTGGGGATATTGATACTGTCCCGGGGCATAAGGAACAGCATCACCCTGATAGTAGAAGGCACCACCTCGACCCGTCTGCCCATAACTACCAGGGCTAGGAATCTGCTGGATCGGTGCAGGTGGCAGCAAGAAAGTCTGCTGCGGCTTCTACTGCTGACTCTGGGGACAATTCGCAGCCCGATGTCCCACCTGCCCACAAGTAAAGCAACCACTGCTGCCACGCCTACACTCACCAAAGTGCCGATTATTACACCTGCGGCAAAGTGGGGCCCTACCTCTACCACCATTGCCCTGTCTCTGGCCTCTAGCACCACCAGCAAACTTACCTCCACGTCCCTGACTAGTGGCGCTAAAACCACCGCTAGAAGAGCTAGAACTAGTGCCACCCCTCTTGAAGTTCTGAGTCCGACGAGGCCCGAGCGACGCTTGACCTTTACCCTTATCATCTTTCTTCTGATTACCATCTTTCTCTTCCTCATCACTCTCACTCGACATATTTTCTGAATCCTCAATTCTCAGCAAAATCTCATAAAAATCCTGGTAGGTATCACAATGGGTAGTAGTCGCCATCGAACGACATTTCTTCTTAGTGCCTAAACGGAAACAGCGAAGCATCTCCGCTGGATTGCCAACAACCTCTGGATGATAGCGAGACAAATCAGTGAACCTCCGATAGTACTCATTCGCTGCCAGCTTCCCCTGTCTCAACTCAGGAAATTCCTGCTTCTTACGGTCAATATACTCAGGAGGCACAAACCTTCTCTTGAACAACTCACTGAAAACATCCCAATCAGTCTTCTCAGCTGGAGTCAAACGACGAAGTTCCTGTTCCCACTAGGATGCAGAATCCTTACCCAAAAACCACAAGGTCGTCTCTACCCACTTCTCGACAGGAAAATTTCCCTGACTGTGCAAGACACGAAAAGTCTTCTCAATGTGCTCTAGCCACCGCTCTGCACCCTCATGACCCTCGTTGCCTTCGAACTTATCCAACTTCAAATTATACATAGTCTCCAGAGGAGTCCTTTGGGGATGGCGGATCGCCGAATGAATAGCTGTAGCAATAGCTTCCCCCAGCTGAGCAATATCGGGGAAACTAGGCTCAGCAGAGCGACGTGGTTCCCGACGAGGCGGCATAATTTTGACAGAAGACACCAAAATTATTAGAATACTCACAAAAGTACAGGACTGCCAAACCTAGGCTCTGATACCAAACTGACACACCCCGATCGAGACCAGGGCATGCTGGGCGTCACGTGGAAGTGACGTAACCATGTGCACAGTACGGAAGCTAATAAAATAATAATATAAATGGTACGAATAAATAAAAACTAGCTTTACACAAAGTAATAACAAACAAGTGCAAGCGTAAGTGCGACACTAAGTTCAGAGCATGGAAGCCTAATGCAGTCCAAAAGGAAACGACGACAACAAAAGCACACCCGAAGGTGGTCCTACAGTGGTGGTGGTCTGTCAGATATGCCGGGGAAATCCTCAGGGAAGCCACCAAACGCGCTAGCCAACTAGAACCTAGAGGGGTGCAAAACAAAAGCGTGAGTGGGCAAAAACAAAGCTTTTCGAAAACCAATTTAATAAATAAGTTCTAACCCCTCGCCGTAAAACCTATATACTTCCCAGAAAATAGAATATATATATATATAAGTCATGCTCGACAAACGTGCCATGCAAATATCTCGAAGTAATATGACAGTGCTCAGGAAACATCAAATCAATACCATGTAAACTGTCAGCCGGAGTCACCTAACGTGACCTGTACGGCTGAATCTAGAGCTCTAATCTCCATCTCACTAACTATACCTGCACACGAGTCGGAACCACCTAAAGTAGTCTGTACGACAGGCCTGAGTGTAATATAAGTACGCTCTAGTGCTACGATCACGTGAAGGCTGGGCGAATAATCGCGGGTCACCTACGAGTCAGAACCACCTAAAGTGGTCTGTACGACAAGCCTGTGCACCTAACTTGGATCCAAGATGAGTGTGTGGTGCGGGAGGTGAACATCACGTGAAGGATTGTGCCCTACTGTGGGCGGGAGCACTAACACCGGGGGTGCAGGTTATGAGCTCTCTATGTAACTAGAAACACTACTGAACGTAAATGTAAAATCATACTCACCTGACACTTACCTGTGCGTCCACGGCACCAATACACATGTATCTATATATGACTAATAATGCATAAACGAACGGCAACCAATAAACATGGCATAATAATATAAAAACATTTTAATTCATTTTCTGGGAAACATATAAGTATATAGGTATATACGGAAAACCAAAAGCCCACTCACTGATAAGTAGAAAGGTCGTAACCCCCTTGCCTCGAGTGACCACGCTCGTCCTCGGGATAGGTCTCACCTATATGCGAAACAACTATAAAAACGTTAATTTTAAAGCACATAACCAACCTTTAGAAATAACTTCTCATACAATGCTCAAATGGAGTGTATGAATACACCAACGTGATCTACTCAACCTCAGGAACATCCCCATATTTTTAGAAAAATTTTCCACCGCCGCACGCGCCCCCATGCGCCGGCCACGCGCAGGCAAGTGCCTGGCACGCTGATGCCGTCAGGAATATTCCGTTATCCCTAACGGTAACCGTCAACGGCGTTAGGAATATTCCGTCAGTTTTGACGGAATATTCCGTCGTCTTCTCCGGCGAGGCTCCGGAGTCGGAAAATCGAGAAAAATTCAAATCGTCCTATCTTCCTCGTTTTTCAACCAAATTTCACAAAATTGGTACCAAAATGAAGCTTACAACGAGAGGAACAAAATCATACCACTTTCAAGTGCTAAAATCCGCGAAATCTCGCCTGGAAATTACCCCCAACTCCGGCCAACCTCGAAACTCATGATCCCGACGTCCAAAACCTTCAAACGAACCACCCCGAGCCTCCTAGGGACCTCACCAAGCTTTCTACAAGCTTGAAATTCCCAAAAACATGAGAAATTACGTGTGCATGAACAGTACCAAAATCGGGCATCTCGAGTTCAACGTGAAAACGATGGTAACCTTACCTGAAATGGGTACGGTTGGACTCCTACAAGCCTCACGAGCATGGATATGTATTTGGTTTCTTCGATCTGTGAAGATTTGATGGGTTTGTGTGTGTGTCCGTACGTTGTATGGAAAATGGGAAGGGAAAGGGAGCTCGGGACAGGTGCAGGGATAGGGGGAAAGGGTGAGGAAGATTATGGGAGTGTGTGTGTGGTCCACAACCAGCCACATTAACTCAAAACAACCACACAACGTAAAGAAATCGCACTAGGGGCAAAATTGTCTTTTCACGCGTACGTTTTTAAAATTTCCGGGACGAGCTGTCACATTGATTCATATCAAAACTTTTGAACTTTGCCACAAAATGCAATTCACACAATGCAATTTTTGTATTCTCAAAGTAAGATTCAGTCAATAATAAATATACACACGTACACACACACATATATTATATAATATTTTAATATTATATATAATATTATATTATATATTATTTGATTCAGGTACGGGTACGGATATGCATTGGAGATCTTATAACCATATCCAAAACCATAACCGAATAATATTTACAGTTTTTCCTCATACCAAAATATACCCGAATTTTCAAACTCAAATTCAATCCATTTGAACGGTTATCATGGTTATCGAATTTAACGGTTGAAATTTTAATCCTTACGAAGACTTAGCCTGCAAGTCATTTATCTGACTATGAGATTCTCCACTTTTCCTAAAGTAGCTTTGGAATTGAAAAGCAATCCAAACATGCGTCTAGACAAAGCAGACTTTGATTTAATACTTTGATCCTATGACAGAGTTTGTTTCATCCATAATGTAGTTGCTAGTTGCAAGTTCACAGGAAAACCTAGCAATCCAGTTTCAGCTACCGTCGCCGCCGCCATCAGCACAAAAACTATGTTTTCAGCGGCGCGTATCGTCCTACCGCTGTCATTGTCAGTGCTGGCCATAATTTATGAGTACTTCAGAACCAGACGGATATCGGAACATCCTGAAGGCGTCGATCCTGAAATCCTTGATTTGATTCGGAAACTCAGCCCCGCCGAGCTCAATAGTATTAGGAATCGCGACCCTGCCTTCCTCGATTGGATTCGGAACTTGGACTCTGCTGCTTTCCCTTCCGAATTTTCTGGAAGCGTCGACGGTCCTCTAAACCCGCCGTCTGTTCCGTCTCCTGCCCCCGCCGTGCTTGATGGTGGAAGTTCAGAAAATAGAAGTGGGTCTAGCTTCACCTTGGCTGCCTCTTCCGCTGCTCAAAGTCAAGCATCTGCATCAAAACGCCTCCAGATAAAGAAAAGTCCGGTAAAGCAAGAATCTATTTCTTTTTCTGCTGAAGCAGCCGCAGCTCAGGAGGCATGTGAAAAGTGGCGACGAAGGTCATCTTTGTCTATTCTTAAAACTCATTGTTTGATGTCCCTTTTAGTTATATTTGGACCTCTGAGTGGAGTAATATAGCCCTGTACTAAAGATGAGCTTCTTTTTGTTGAATTTGATACACCTCCAGGGGAAACGAAGCATACTCTAATGGGGATCTGTCTAAAGCTGAGGACTGCTACACACAAGGAGTGAATTGCGTTTCTAGAAATGAGACATCTAGAAGCTGTCTTAGGGCATTGATGCTGTGCTATAGCAACCGTGCAGCAACATGTCTGACTGTTGGAAGAATAAGAGATGCACTTGGGGACTGTATGATGGCTGCTGCAATTGATCCCAACTTCCTGAAAGTGCAGGTTAGAGCTTCCAAGTAAGTATTTTCTCTTTACTATTTGATATTTTCTTTTGACTTTCCAGTATGAACCTCTGCGCTAACGCAGCTTCTTTTTTTGTTGATCTCACTTTCCGACATAAACTAGGATGAGTTACGCAGACATTTCATGATATCTAGTGCGTTTTTACTTTAGACCATGAAGTTTTGGAATTTACAACCCAACCACTTGAAATTTATATGGTTGGATATATATATTTATAACAAAAGTCAAATGGACTTTAAAATTTTAAAATTTTGCTATAATTCTTGTTCAATTTTAATACAATTGATTGTTAGACTTTTGCTACTTACTAGTCCTAACAATTTCTTACACGATCCGTTAACACGACACAAAAATAATAGGTTTCGGCTCAACACGATAACTAATCGGGTCATTATCGGGTCACATGATAATAATAAGGGATTCTTAACATATTTACACGAGACTGGCACGAGGGTAATTTGTTTCGACACGATAAGAAAAAAATTATTTTGATGATTTTAATTTTTTAAACTACTTAAAAAAGCTTAGTATAAAATACAATAGATATAATGAATATGTATATATTGTTTATTAATTATTATTCTATATAAATTTTAAATTTTAAAATTTAAGTTTTATTTATTTATTTATTTTTATAGGATATTATAGGCAAAGATTGAGATTAAAATTCATAAAACACATTAAAAATAAAAATATCAAGTAATTTAAAAATACTAAACACATTAAAAAAATTATAATAATTAATTTACATGTGCGAAAAATATGTAAACGCTCGTAGTCACATCTTCTATGCTTTGAGGATGGGTATATGATCGTTTGAATTTTTAAAACCATACAAGCTCTCATGAATAGTATTTTTAAGGGAGTTCAAAATAAACAAAATTCATAATCATTAATGTACAAGTCTGAAAGATGTGAAAGCATAATAAACATTCATAATTGCATTCTCAATGCTTAGACGATAGTTACATGGTCGTTTAGATTTTTAAAACCCTCCAAATCTCATGAACAATTTTTTTTTATTTGAGTGCAAAATTAATAAAATTAATAATAATTATTGTCGAAGTGTGAAAAATGTAATCACTCGTAATGAAAAGCTTTACAACTTTCATAAAGGGGTCAACTTCAAAATTTAGTATGTATATACTAATTTAGTATTATGTTGTACATTTTTTTGGGTCAAATTATGTTTTTCATTTTTATTGATTTAAAATATATTTTTCTTAACGGGTAACGGGTCGGGTCATATTACCTGATAATATTAACGGGTTGATTTCGGATCAGGTCATATTACTATTTACTTTAACAAGTATTAAACGACATGACCCGTTAAGCTATCGGGTATGACACGAAAACGTCACGAACACAAGAAACATGACACGAATGCCGTGTCTACTACTTACCATTACTTGTACAATATTGTGCTGTTGTTCTTGGATCGTCTAGTTTTAAGTAAGATATTTTACTGGCACTCAAATTTCTGCTTCTCATAATTTTCATATGTTGTTCTGCTGGTCTTTGATTAGGCATTTCCTATTGAATGTGCTTTGTCGCTTTGATTTTTGAGTTCCGGCATAGAATTTTTCAGTCATAAATTCATAATTGCTTTTCTTTTCACACAACATAACCTTCCCTAATTGTATTTCGTTTTAAAATTCTTAAAGCTGTTATCTTGCTCTTGGGGAAGTTGAAGATGCTTCACACAATTTTAGGAGGTGCCTGCAATTGGCAAATGATGAATATGTGGACCGAAAGATTGCAGTAGAAGCTTCTGATGGCTTACGAAAAGCACAGGTAGTGTAATTAATTAAAAACCCGATCTTACTGCTTTCCATGGGATTCACCATAGTCTACATTTAACATCACTTATAAATTCCAAGTCGTACATTGTGTACATTATAAATTCTAAGTCTTATGTTGTGTACATGAAATTGGTTAATACAGTACTCATCTGAACCCTGATAATGCTGAAACTTTTTCTCGTTTTCTTAAAAACAGTTTAAGTTGCACACCACATAGTTTGTAGGGTGATTGAGCCAAGAAGAAATAAGGAATTTTCTGATTGTAAAACCCCTATTTTGGCTTGTAAAGAGAAAAGACATGGGAAAAAGGGATCAAAGTTGGAGTGTTGATCTGTTTAGGGTTTTAACTTATATTTAATTTCCTTCTTTTCATCTTGAATATATTATTTCGTCTGAAGGCGTTGCAGATTTCAAATATGCTCATAATTATTGTTGCTCATGTTTGATACTTGATTATATGGGAGGTTGTGAAATTGTAGTCAGGAATTCTTATAACTTGGTTGTAGTACAAGTAAAACCCTGTGGAACAGGTTAGAGGAACTATACTTTCAAGTTGGTATCAATTGAGGATGGCCATGGAGGTCTGACAAATGTATTTGCAAAGGCTATTGTTGAGTAAGGACCTCGTATTGTTGGTAGACAGTGAATTTAAATTTGGTCTGAGTTTCTTTTGGATTAGAATGAGTTATTGTCGGGCTGTTTTGCTGTTTTGAACAGTGACAAGAAGGCAAAGATGAGTATTTTAGTGGATTTATGTGTGATATAAGCAAGATATTATAATGAAATTTTGGGAATTTTAAATAACCATTCTGCATCCTCCAGGCCAGTAAAAAAAATTTTATAGAGCATATATCTATAATTAGTTTGAGAGATATAGGATCAAAGCAGTGTGAGCTTGAAGGTTGAACTATAGTATTCCATGTACTCTCCTAAATCTCAAATTCAAAAGCAAAGGTCTTTTATTTGTATATCTCCTCACTTGGTGCATTTTATGTATATCTGAGGAGGAGATTGTGGATCATATTTTCTCCATTGCTCTTGTTCTGCACAGTTGTGATGAAAATTGTGTAAGGGAGTTAGAGCTGGTTGGGTTATTCCAAATTGTTGTTTTGAGCTTCTAAGTACCAAGTTTGAGGCTTTAGGATGGGGGAGGAAAGCTAAATTTTTATGGGGTTGCTTTTGTGCTGGCAGTTTTTGGAATATTTGGGTGGAGCGTAATAGAAGAATTTTAAAGAATACAAGGGTGTGGGACTAAATTATGACGTAGTTAGATACTGGGCAGCTCCGCTATTTGCACATCAGTTTCGAATAAGGATGGATGCATTTGCCGCTGTGAAATGAATTTAGGTTTCAAGTCTTCAGGTTTTTGTATCTTAATTTGAGAGGTCTGGTTCTGCAAAAGTGTATCCTATCCCATGTTACTGTGGGAACGGGTGTAGATGAAATGTGGGACCAAGTTAGATAATGGGCAGCTCTTTGGACATTAGTTTCAAATGCGTAGGGATTATGATTTGTTAGCAGCAGTGAAAATGAATTTATATTTTAAGTCTTGGTTTATGTAACATTATAACTTAGCTCATTTTGAGAGGTCGTTTTTTATACTTCAGGTTAAGATATACATTTTTCTTTTATTATTTTTTGGCCAACAACAGTTTTATATTGCATACATGTACACACGTGCCAAGTTTTGCATGTAATGGGGATCGCTTGTGGATCCCTATCTGCATTGTATTTAATGATCTGAAATATCTGTATTATGTCTCAATTGGATCATCCCTGCAAAATATCAATCAAATCTTAAGCCATTGTTTTAACCATTGGATTTTTACGGAGAAGTGTTTGTATACAAACTGATTTGGGGTTTTAATTGCTGGCAGAAAGTGTCTGAATGCCTGAATCTTTCTGCTGAACCTTTGCTATGGAAAACATCAACTAATGCCGAGCGTGCTTTACAACTTATTGATGAAGCTTTGGTAATAAGTTCTAGCTCAGAAAAATTACTTGAAATGAAAGCAGAGGCTCTTTTTGCGGTTAGTGATTTATTTAATTATGTTTTTTCTTTTATTGGTTTTTGCTACTATGATTTTCAGTCAGTTGTGGGTTGAATTCTGTATTCCCTAGCAGGTGCGGAGGTATGAAGAGGTGATTGAGCTGTGTGAGCAGACCCTTAGTTCTGCGGAAAAGAACACCCTTCCAGCAGATACCAATGACCAGGTCCTTTCTGCAGATAGTTCCGAACTCTCAAAGTACTTTTACTTCAGACTCTGGCGGTGCCGCATGATTTTTAAATCCTATTTTTATCTTGGAAAACTCGAGGAGGGTCTTGCTACACTAGATAAATATGAGGAAATGATGTCAACCTCATATAGGTAACTTTTAGACACGATTTTAGATGTTAAATTTTTTTAAAGGTTTGCTTTTATTGCTTGAAGTTCCTAACACTATGCGAATGTCCAGGAATTGGAGAAAAACTCTGCAATCATCAGAACCCCTTGTGCTCGTTGTACGTGAACTTCTGTCTCATAAGGTATGCTCAGTCTGTGCCGTGTTTCTTGACTTGTACAATCCTCTCTAGGCGCACATGTAATATCACAATTGAGTAGAAATATTTGAACTCATACCTCATCCCATATTAAAGAAAGTTGGGCAGGATCCTCTTCAGCTGTCTTGCCGACATATAATTACAAATAAAGACATGAAGTATTTTCAAAACTAGATGGGACCTTCTTAACCGTGTCATTTTCCTCCTGTAGACAAAGAGTGTATTTGTTACTTAAAAGGCCTATTATCAAACCTCATTGGTTATCCTGGTGGAACTTTCTCATATGTTAGCACTTGCTATGATGTCTGCCTACGGGTTTTTTAATTCTTTGTTTTTGAGATATATAGTAGTTTCTAGTCATTCGATTGCAGATATATTTACAAACCAATCACTTTCTCGCACAATATTTCCTTTTTCAAGTGGTGTCAGGGTAAAAGAAGGTTGCACTTTAGTTTATGCTTGGCATTCTTCAGTGTCTACTAGTTTGTTTTTCCAATGTTTGATGCGTTTAATTTTGGGGAAGTGTTATTGGTACTCCACAAAGGTCATCCCTTACTCCTCCCTTATAAAAAGGGAAAATTTGTACTTTTTACTTATTTGGAGTATCAATAGCAGCTCCCTTAATTTATTCATCATTAACTGTTTAATTGAAAAATACGAAGTGCTCTACTGCATATACATGCTGCTTATGTAGTGACTTTCTTCTTTGTTACTGTACATCGTAGGTTGCGGGGAATGAAGCATTTCAGGCTGGAAGACATACTGAAGCTGTTGAGCATTATACTACTGCTTTGTGCTGCAATGTTGAATCACGTCCATTTACAGCTTTTTGTTTTTGCAATCGTGCTGGTGCATACAACGCATTGGGCCGGATTACTGATGCTATTGCTGATTGCAGTCTAGCTATAGCTCTTGATGGAAATTATCTAAAGGTTTGTTCAAAGCTGAAGTTTTCTTAATGATTCTTTGATATGGCATTGCTCATGATTTTACTTATTCATTACTTTTTTTTTCTTTGGTAAATGGACGGGCTGGTTTTATGTCTCTGTTTGATTGATATCAGAGATATACAAACTAGTAGTCTTGTTAGGTCATTAAGGGGTCGTTTGATTGACCGGACTAGGACTGGATTATGACTTCTCTATGTGGGCTTATTTTAGGCTATTTAAAATGTGGGGCCTAAATAGAACCAACCAAGCCAATCCTTGCAATTAGTCTAGGACAAGCCATCAATGTGCCCTAATCAATTTGTATTTTCTTAGTGACACAGCTTTCCGCCTGTTTTTGGGGAGCATTTGGAATGTATGTGTTGTGTGTTTATGCGGTTTCTTCCTGTGGAAATGCAATAAATGGATCTTGTCTAACACATTAATTTTCAAGGAAATCTTAAAGCACTTAATTCAATTCTATTTCTTCTTTTTTTTTTTTTCTTCTTTGAAGAAGAACTTTCTATTTCAATTGCAAGGCACAAATATCTAAGTTTCCAAGAATGTCACGTTTTAATTTCAGATTGCAATCTCCTGAACTTCTCAAATTTGTGGTCAAATTTTGATTAAGATATTCAAGAATTTTACCTTTGGGTTCACCCTTGAAAATTTAAGATATATTAGATACGAGTATTTCACTCTACTTAGAAGGTCTTCCCAGGATAAAAGATTAAAACGAAGGAATTTTCAGTCAGTTCAGTTTTGACACCATTTTCGACATCCATTATAATTTTTAATTTCTAACTAATAATTTCTCCCATATCTTTTGGTTTGTGGTTTATATCAACCTCAAAGTGCAGCTTCTCCAGGGTTAGATTTCATTTATAGACTTTAAAAATCTGGTGTGCTTTGCTCAGGTTTCCTCATGTATTGCGTTATGTTATACTGTAACGTGAATATCATTTTCCAATCTCCAATGAACAATGGATAGATGTGTAGAACATACCCTTACACGTGCTTCACAGGCAATATATTTACACATTTAGAATGGATGTGACCACCGAAATGCTCCTTGGTGATTAATTTTTCGTAAGGATATGGAATTGTTATGAATTGTTTGCGTGGGATAAAGTAATCAGGAAACATTGACATAGACATATGGATTAGAATTGTTTGCCTCCCACATTTGTGATACCAATGGGCTAGATTGGAAAAGAGTGACCTGAACTTTCAGAATGTTGTACAAGATGTTGGCAGAGTTGTCAAATACTATATGGTTTGAACTTATTGGTCCTTGTGAACCTTTTGTATTTAAGCCTCTTGAGTTATAAGTGGTTGCTTGTCTACGAACGTTTAAAATTTGAAGTCTATGGGTCGATTATGTTGGGGATGGAAGAAGACTACACTAACACAATGAAGTTGTCATTCCTCTAGTAGGTGGTGCTTTACCGCTTTAACAATCCTTACAAAGTTGCCTTTCCTGTGGCATATTGCATTTCAGAACAATAATTTTCTTTGATTGGGTCCTCCTGCATGTTATGTCAGTTCCTGTTTTCTTTTATACTTTTGGCAGGCTATTTCTGGACGAGCCACATTATACAAGATGATAAGAGATTATGGAGAAGCCGCTAAAGATCTTCGGAGACTGGTATCTATTCTCGCTAAGCAGGAAGAGGAAAAAACTAATCTGTGTGGAGCATCTGACAGATCCATTAGCGGCACAAATGTCTTGAGACAAGCTCGTCGTCAACTTTCAAAAATAGAAGAAAAAGACAGAAAGGACATCCCCTTGGATATGTACCTTATTCTGTAAGTTTATCTGCACCTATATTTGTTTCTGGCGTGTGGTTGCAAACTGGCCCCTCTTTAGGACGTTTACACGAATGCTGCTAGACTATCCAGTTAAATAATTGTTGAGGCTGAGTTGTTATACATTCGGGTGGGTGTACTGAGTAATTAACTATAACTGTTGAGGCTGAGGCTGAGGAAACCAATTTTTTAAATTATGGGTGGTTCATTGACTTCCATCTTGTTCACAATAGGTAAAGTATCCTTCTGTTGGTTTAATTGCCAAGCATAAAAAACTTCTCCAGATGGTAATTTAAGCAATTGAAAAAACGAACAATAAATGCTGGCTTTACAGTGAAGTGTATAGGAGAGCCTATGCTATCATGAAAATTTAGACTGAAGCTGCTTGCTGATAATTCCTTGGTATAATATAATTAATTATTTACAACAAGCTCATTGGTAATGCTCCATGCTCTGGATTGTAGGCAGATAAGAATAGTCCATGGAATCTAAGAAATACTTACACATGCCGTTTATGATTCTCCTAGAAAAGGTGTAGCTTTTCAAGGTAGTTTAATTCCGAGTATAATTGATTGAAACTATCATTAAGTTAATTCGGCTATAATGGTAGGGGAGTTGAACCATCTGTTTCGGCATCAGAAATCAAGAAGGCGTATCGGAAAGCTGCACTTCGACATCATCCTGACAAGGTATGTAATATTTTATGATTTGTAGCTTGCTTACTGCTATTCACCGTCTAACATGTTCTTTTATAGGCTGGTCAATTCTTTTCAAGGAGCAATAATGGGTGTTGGAAGGAGATAGCAGAAGACGTGCACAAGGATGCTGACAGGCTTTTTAAAATGATTGGGGAGGCATATGCAGTACTTTCAGACCCAACCAAGGTCTCAAAACTCTTCGCAATAATGCTTTCTTTTTTTTTCTTTTTTTTTCCGGTTATGTTTCAAATAAACAAGTCTTTGTGCAGCACCTTTTTGTTGAAAAAAGTTTGTACTTTTTTGTTCTTACTGCCATCATCCTTATTTGAGTTATCAGAGATCTTTTCCTCTTAGATAGTGATATGCTATGGGTTTTAAACTTTTATCGGTAGAGACCAGTGAGATGTTTCATATTCTGGTCAATGATAATCTAGTGATTATTGTTTGGGTATTCTGTTTCACAAAATTGATAAAATCCCAACTTTCTAAGAAATTGTGGTGTTTATTTTACTCATGTTGCAGCGTGCAAGGTATGGCACCGAAGAGGAGATGAGGAATGCACAAAAGAAACGCAGTGGAAGCAGCACATCTAGAATGCCAGCAGATGTTCAAAAGAAGTAGCAGTAGGCGACAATGGGGAGAGGTTCCGAGATCATATGGCAACTCATCTTCTAGAGGGTCAGAAGCAGCACAGTCAAGTAGATATTCTTGAAGACATGCCTGCTTAGAACCTTGACTCTTCAGAAGAGGTTTTGAATGGAATGAGGTTGGAAGATGGATTTATTGCATTGCTACATGTGTAGCTTCACTTCAAGGATCAACCGACGTGTGCAGTTGATTCAGCTTGTATGTCAATGGTAGTGTGACCTCCCAAGTTTGAAGCAATGCGGTTAATGCATCCTGAATTTAATTAGTTTGTAAATAAGTTTTCTAACGAGCTTAACAAGGTTCAAAAGAGAGTTATGAATACTAATACCATTGGTAACAATAACATAAACAGTAACGATGAATTACAAACTGAAGCTCAGATCATTGATGAATTGTTCCAAGTTTTAAGAGAGGAGGAAGTAATGTGGGCTCAAAAAAGCTTTCCCATCTTAGTTCTACATTTAGAAGTAAAAGAAATGAAAACAATAAGATAAGAGATGGGAATGGATTATGGTGGTGTCGTGGGGAGGGGCATGAACAGGTTTTTGTGTAGGATTTTAAACTGCGTTTTTCTTGTTCTTCCCCTCCTAGCACTAATGAGACGTCTACAGTTGCGAGTATTATCAAGCCTTGCATAAATGAGGAGCAAAATAATTTTTTTACTCTCCCCAATTACTGTAGATGAAGTTTGGACGCTGTAAATAGTATTGGGGCACTAAGGTACCGTTTGGTACGTGGGACGGGACGGAACAGAGTGGGACAAGGCGTTCCGTCCCACGTTTGGTGCGCCTAAAATGGGTGGAACGAGCTGTTCCACGGGACGAGTTTTGGGTGAATTTTCGTTCCACCTCACCCCCCTGGAATGACTCGTTCCACATTCGTGGAACACAAAATTATAACCTCTCTGTCTCCTTCTTCTTCCTCCTTGTTTCCATCCAAGGACATCTTTGCTCCCGCTCCGTTCCGTTCCGTCCTATCCCATCCCGTCCTGCCCCATTCCGTTCCGTCCCATCCCGTTTGCATACCAAACTAGTCGTAAAAGCCCCAGGCCTTGATCGGTTGTATACTAGTTTTTACCAAAGTTGCTGGGATACAGTTAAGAACTCTGTTTTTTCAGTATGGTGAAGGATTTCTTCAAAAATAATGCGAGTCTCCGACTGACAAATCATACAAATATAGCACTCATTCCCAAAGGGGAAAATCCAGAAACTGTTGGTAAGTCTTTGTAATGTGAGTTATAAAATAATTACTAAAGTCATTATTAAGAGATTAAAGCCTATTCTGAATCTTTGTATTTCTCCAAACCAAGGTGCACTTGCACCTGGTAGATCAATGAAGGATAATATTGTGATTGCTCATGTATTGTTCTCAAACTTTAACAGAAAATAAAAAATAAAAAATAAAAGAAAAGAAAAGGAAGTAGGGGATATGGCCTTCAAGGTGGACCTGGAGAGAGCCTATGATATGCTTAACTGAGATTTTATCAGGTATGTCCTTTTTAAGCTTGGTTTTAGTGTAAGATGGGTGAATTTGATCATATAATGCTTTACCCTTACCTCCTTCTCAATTATCATTAATGGCAATATACTTTGTTATTTCTATGAAAGATACTTGATCGACTCCTGTTGAATTTTTTATTTAAGTTGTTATGCACATACTACACTTTGTAAAATTGTGTTCATTTTGCACACCTTATCAATATTTTTTTTTTTTTTTTTGGGTAGTCTGAAGAACCAAAACTAGAATATTTTTGTTCAATGATTTGTCACTTTTCATTGACACAACTGTAGCTTGTTAACATTGACACACCCCAACCCCAAATAACACAATTTACGAGGCTGTGATGTGCTAGTTGTCACTAAATTGACCACATGACCCCATTGAGAGATTACATCACAAGCCAACTTAATAGCTAAGCCATAGTATGATAATTATGATGAAGCCATAGTAAGATAATTGTGATGTGAGAGAATTTGAACCAAAATGTTCTTTACTAATAGAATAAAAGCTACTACAAAGTCCCCTAATCAACCTACCCACTTGGGGACACAAGTACAGGGATAAGATCCCATTACTATCACATAACATTAGAGCAGCTAGAAGTTTCACACAACAGTAAACACATAAAAGTGCAGTGCTTTGCGTAATCGAAAATATGATCATACAGTTATTACAAACTAGAAAAAACTGCAGTAAAGAATCATCACCCAAAGTAAAGAGGATGGACGCTTCACTGCCAATCCCGCTTGTCACCTCTAGGGTTCTCCTTATTGACGCTACATCCTGAGGGGTAAAAAACAAAAGCTGGATCAAGTTTATTTAGTTAAAATCATTTAAATATAATAAACCTCGTTTTGAAATCTCATATATAGTAAAAACTACTTACGTAGCCAAGTTCAAATCACATCGCTTGTCATATCAAAGAAAGTAATACTAATCATATAATCAAGGTAATTCAAAATGTATAGCAAGTAGATGAAGTAGCATCTAGTTGATCCATTACTAGCATGAGCTTTAAAGTGGAAACTATGAGTAATCATTTAAACTATCATTTAGACATCGAATTTGTACAAACAGAGGGCGCCACGTGATTTAGAACACCAAAAAAACCCAAAATTAGGTCTCGGGTCCTACATGCATTGCCGTACTTCAGCAACGCGCTGCCATGCATAGGCCACGTGCCGCCGCGGTGGTGCCATGCATCGTCACATGCCAGAAAACACGCGCACTTGTGTGGTCGCCGTCGCCAGCAAACGCGACACCCTACTTGCCGTCACGGTTCAACGAGTACAGGTCGCACTTGCCGTCGCTGAAAAGAGTTAACAGAGTTGACGTGGAGGAGAATATGCCGTTAAGTCTAACGACACAATTGACATCGCCGTTAAGTCCAACGGAGATTGCCATTGGTAGTCGCTGGTGCCATTGCCAGAATCTGCAGAAAACGATCAGGGCCTTCCCCCGTGTCCAAATCGAAGGTTTGTTAGCTCTAAATCGAAGGAAAATTATCCTAAAGGCTCAGGAACTTACCCAAACACAGAATAAGGCGAATGAGAGTCAAACCCAACTCAGATTCGACAGAAACTCGCCGGAGTGCTTCGTTAGACTCTGGAAATGGACACCAAGAGCATGCATGTTAGAATCTCTGAGTTACTCAATGTAAAGCCCATGCAAAACGATAGGAATAGTTACCTAGGATAGGTTCAAGCTAGACTCGAGCGCCACAGGCGACAAACTTGTCGGAGTTTGCCCAGAGAAGACCACCACCAGAAACTGGGCAAGGGTACAGAGAAAATGCAGGGGCTAAAACCTTGAGTCTCAGAGATTCCAATATAAGATTTTGGGGTTGGATGTGTCAAGAACTCCAAGAGGATGAAGGCGAGAAGCTCTCGGAGCTTAGCGAGAGAATTTGAGAGTTAGAGAGATAAGAGTGAAGCTGCAGAAATGGGAAGGAGGATGGCACGGTGTTGGGCGTAGTCCCACTTAAGTGAACTACAAATTGCCCTTCCTAAATTTGATCATTACAATTAAGCCCTCGAGTTTTGATTTCAATTTTATTTTTTGACTCAATATCAACCTACATGAACATAGTTACAAAAATATACGAAAGTACAAGAAATGGGTCTACCAAAAAAGGGCGCCCATTTATTTAATCTATTGTACTTCAACAATTCTTCGCTTCTTAACAAATTTATTCTCTTATGTCATATTTTCATTTTGTAGGAATAATAATGCTTGGGAAATACGTTTGTTTATTTACTATAGAACAGTTAAGGCTACTAGTGTTCTTTTTCCTACTTGTCGTATCTTTTTCACCCAATGATACTTGGTCGTTTATGATGGTCATAAACACGACACGCAAGTTCAGTTCACGGTTTGAGTAACTATATTGTAATAAACTAGTCAATCAATTAATTTGCAAAGTAATATTTGTACGAAATAATAAATACTTAAATGATTGTTGAGATTTAAACAATTTATGGCAACTTGTAAGTTGTTTTTATCATAGCAAATAAATACCAAATTTAGAAATTTTCGTATTTGATACCTAACATCAACAAATACGTTGCTAAGGTAGTTTTCAAGGAAAATGCGCTTTTCATTTTACCAATGACTCGGACCTTTGCCTCAGCCCATATAAGTGTAGATATCCTTGCATCAAAGTTTAATTCATCCAAGGGATCATTTTCTGAAATAAAATCAACAGTCACTAGTTCTTTCGACCATTATGGTCAGACTAAACATGTTTTCGATTGTGGACATTTTGCTTTTGGCTAGTTGCTCACTTCTGATATTGGCACATTTGGATGACTTGCCGACTGTAGTTGAGTGCAAAAACATTTTAGCATCAAGTATGCATTTGACGTGTACAACTATATTTTCAAATGGCGGAAAATTAGTGACGGCAAATGCCAGGCTCTTGTGGCATTGGGAAGACACTGCCATAATGTTTTTGTGATTAACATTTTTACTTATTAACACACAAAGAATAGAACGGCCTCTCAAGCCAGAGCTGACCGAAGAATTTAGTCATTGTATAATTGAAACTTCCATCCCACCTCACTCTTCTCTATCTTAAAATGAGAATTGAACTTCTATAGGGCTAACAAATTTGTGGGATGTTTCATGAGTTAGAATAAAATTTGGATACATTTGTTTGATGCCTTATTACAACTTCACTTTGTTGCTTTGAGTTGTAAAACATTTCATAATTGAGGAGTGAAAAGAACTACCACTAAAATTTAGAAACTTCGTGAAACATCGCAAGTATATATAGGTCAATTTTATATTTGTTCCGCCATTACCCTTGCATTACGTCACATTATTGCAAGTACACCACATACTGATGTGTCGTGATTATTTTTGTAGAAACTTATATTTCTCGTCCCATTTAAGGCATGTATGGAAATATTGTCGAGCATATGTCTACTCATATGATCGCGATCTTCCTTATAACAGCCACACGTGTCTTTATTGTTTCCGGATCTAAGTTGAGAAAGATGAAAACTTCGCCATATAGTATTGCTCAAAATTCTTACTAAACGATGTTGAAATAGGCTTATGAAAGATTCTTGATCAACTCCTATTGAACTTTTGATTCAAGTTGTTATGTGAAACCCTGTCCTTGATTTACCGTATTTTGTACTATCGAATTTATGAAATTACCATTGTACCCTTGAGTTCACTTTTGTTGACCGTCTCGTCGAAACGCGTAGTTCTAATTTAATTAATTTATTCATTTCATACTCATCACCACGTGCGCGTAGGCATGAACAGATTCAAAATTGTATTTATAACAAAGATTCTACATTCAAAAGTTGATTTTTTTTGGATATTTTGTATTTTGTCTTATACGTTCTTAATTTGCGAACCAAGGAAGGACCCACCTGGGATTTTTGTACCCTTAGCTTTTACCCTATCCGGATACATTCCCCACTCTTTTTAGATTTTCTTACTTTCCTTTTATAACTCTCTCTCCCCCCTTCACTTTTCTCTTCTTCTTGTTCCACAGCCCTGAGATCTCTCTCTCTTTCTGCAAACTCTCACTCTCCATTCTGAGTTCACTCACAATCACAACAACCCTCACCATCTAGACATAAGAGCTTCGAAGAACCAGTGATAAGCCGTGGAACTCCACAGCGACAATCTCACCGTTCGTTTCTTTCCCTGTCGAACTCCGACCACTTTTGTGAACTTTCCAACATAGGCAAGCTTCTAAGAACCCTTCGGTTGTGTTTTAAGGTTAGATCAGAGTTTTTTTTTAAAGTTGTACACACGTGTTAAATGCAGAGATAGCTCAGAGTAAGCTTTTCCCAATTTTCTAGAGAGCACTGCCACTTTTGAGGCATTTTCCGGCCAAACCACGGCAATTTAGCCATCATGCAAGGTACGATTCTCTTCATCTCATTAAGAAATATGATTTTCATTTTTGAATCACTTGATTTGGTTGAGTATTGAAGATGTTATGAGCGTTTGAAGCTTTGATCAGATTCCGGCCAACTCGTTACTTAAAATCTAGTCGACCCGACCAGATAAGCCTAAACCCAGATCCAAACCCAACTGCTACCCGACCCAAACCTTTGGGCCATGTTACCAGCTCAACCTAGAGTTCAGCCCACTAAGCCAAGCCCAAAACTAAACCTTTGGCCTAAGCCCATAAACCAAGCCTAATCCAAATTCCAGTCAGCACGTGGGCACCTGTCTTGCCCGGCGCGTCGAACACATATGCCTTCACTGGAGGTAGTGTGCTCCGTCGCCGTCTACAACAGCGCGGACGACTTTTCCAACCAACTTTCCGACTACCCAACTCGACGCATGGCAATGCGTGCGACGGCGCGTAGGGGTACTCGAGGTCCCCCCTTATATTTTTTGACGTCTTGAATCCGTTTATGACATCCGTTTTCCAAAATTCAATTGTTATGGTAAAGTTTTATTAATTGGACCCTTTATGTGCTTAGGTGCATTTGTTAATGGTGTTTTCATCCTCCCTAGTTCGCACAGCTCTTCGACGACGAAGTATCTATGAATGGACCCTTTCCAAAATGCATGATTTTATTATTAGAAATTCATACATGAAAAGCATGATTTAATGGCTACGTTTCTTGAAACGTTTATGAGTAAATTGGATTTATGCTTTATGAAATATCATGCTTTACTGGACTTATGTTTACTGAGATATTTATGGAATGATGTTTGACCTACTGAGCTCCGATGAGATATATATATTGTGGAAAGATTATGTTCAATGATTTTTATGTGCTTATTCAGTGGTTACTCATACTATGTGCCTACGGGCGAATGATATCTACATATGGCTTCGGTCGGGTGATGTAAGGGTGATATCTATGTATGGCGATGTAGAGGCCTACAGGCAAATGATATATATATATATATATATGGCTTCGGTCAGGTGATGTAAGGGCCTACGTGCAAATAAAGATTTATATATGGCTTCAGTTGAATGAAGGCCTACAAGCGAATGAAGAACTTCATGCAATTCTGATACCACTACTAAGTGCACTATGTATGATATATGTTTTATGAAGTTTTATGGCATGCTAGGGTTTTCGGAAAACATATTACATATTATACTATTGAGTTTTCATAAACTTTGGGGGTTAGTACGTTGACGAATAACTGTTTCAGTATTACTTATCTATCAACTTGGTCCACAGGGTGAACATTCCCTGCGTGAGCGACGAATACTCCAGAATAGTATTATTTCCGCCATTTGGACGACGAAGTTACTACAGAAGGGTTGTGTGGGATTCTTTGCTCACATGGTCACACAAGGTGAAACTTCCCTATGTGCTGGAGATGTGCCAGTGGTGAATGAATTCACCGATGTATTTCCTAAAGACTTACCAGGGTTACCGCCTACGAAGAAGGTAGAATTCACCATTGACTTACTTCCAGGTACCAACCCTATTTCCTTTGCACTATATCGAATGGCACCAACCCTATTTCATCTCATTGAGAACTATGATTTTTATTTTTGAATCACTTGATATGGTTGAGTATCGATGAAGTTATGAGCATTTGAATTTTTGCCCAGATTTCGACCGACCCATTGCCTGAAACCAGATCAACCCGACTAGATAACCCTAAACCCGAATCCAAACCCAACTACTACCTGGCCCAACCCAGTGTTTCAGCCCACTAAGCCAAGACCAAACCCAAACCTTTGGCCCAAGCCTATAAACTAAGCCCAACCCAGATTCGAGTCAGTGCGTGGGTTTGCGCATGGGCCTGCACGTGGGTGCCTATCTTGGCCGGCGTGTGGAGCACATGAGCCTCCACCGGAGGTACTGCACTCTACCGCTGTCCATGGTGGCGCCAGGGACTTTTTTGACCAACTTTTCGACTACCCAATTAGGTGCGTGGGGGTGCCCGAGGTCCCCCCTTATGTTTTTCAACATCCTGAATCCGTTTATGACGTCTATTTTCTGAAACTCAATAATTATGGTAGAGTTTTATTAATTAGACCCTTTATGTGCTTAGGTGCGTTTGTTAGTGGCGTTTCCGTCCTCCTTAGTTTGCACGGCTCTTCAATGACGGAGTATCCCCCTTCCAAAATGCATGATTTTATTATTAGAAATGTATGCATGAAAATCGTGATTTAATGGCTACGTTTTATGAGGAACCGGATCTCCTCTAGATCTATTAAAATTGAGCCACCTAATCAATTAATCTGGGCAATTGAAATTTGATCAAATGGCTACAATTATTATAACTTTTAGAGGACCCTCTATTTATAGCTGTTAGATCAAATTTCAACGGCCCTAATTAATTGATTAGGTCGCTCAGTTTTGGTGGATCCGGTTCCATTTTATGAAACATTTATGGGCAAATTGGATTTATGCTTTATGAAATATCATGCTTTACTGGACTTGCGTTTATTGAGATATTTATGAATATGATTTATGAAATGATATTTGAGCTACTG